CCATGGCTTCTTCTCAGCATTTTGGTCTCAGCACACATGTCGTCTTCTCCGAGGAGCTTCTCTGACCCTCAAAGTTGGCCTCCTCACCATTCTTGGGGGCACTTCCCAGTGTATTTCCCTCACCTTCAGTCTTGTGGCTTATTTTTTGGTAGTTTGTTCACAGTCTGACTTTGAGCTCCTAGAGGGCAGGAACCATGTGAATCCTATCACCTGCATGTCTCCTGTGCCAAACATGATGCCTGACACATGCCAGGCACTTGTATCAGTCAGCAATTGCTGTATAAAAAACTTCCCCGAAACTCAGTGTTTAAAACACTTTCCTCTTATTCATGTCTCACAGTTTGGCTGGAGGTCAGTTACCCCAGATGGGGCTTAGGTACATGGATATGGACTTATTTCCTTGCTAGGTACAAGGTTCAGGCCTTCCACACATGTTGCAAAGCCAGTTTTCAGCAGCACATTCCAGCCTCAGCCTGTAACACATTAGCCACTTGAACCCTCTCTCAGCCCTGCACCAGGCTGCCTTCCCAGGCTCAGTTCCTCCAAGGTCCACCTTCCACAGCCTCTCCAGGCACAGGACCAGCACACAGGAGGCTGCAAAAATTGCTGCTGGGTGCTTCATTTGTCTGCTAAGTTCTCATGGGGTAGGAGTGGCCCAAATCAGCAGCAGTGTGGGTTCTGGGGAGCCCCTTCGAAGTAAAGGAAGCACATCTAAGCTCTAAGCTCACCTTCTCCTCTCAGCCTGGGGTGAGAAGAGGGAGACCTGCCCAGGAGAGTCATGTTCTGCTCAATTCAAAGTGATCACTGCACTTTCTTGCATGCTGCTCATTCTCTGAGTGCACTTTCTGTTTGAACAGAGCTGGAGGTGGAGGAGTCCCCTCCCTGAGCCCCCAGCAACTGCCTGATCCCTGGAATCAAAGAACCCCCTGCTGCTCCAGCCTCTTTCCTGCAGGCCGCAGCTCCCTTCCCCACCCCCTGCCAGGTTTGTCTGCAGTCTTGCTGACACTGCCTCCCGCATCTGTCCTCTGAGCTCCCTCCAGCCAGGCCTCTCACCTTACCTCCTCCTCTTCCAGATTCATCTTGAGAACCATCTGCTGTGCAAAGATAAGGATTTTTCTGAGAACTTGCCAAAAGAGGCCCCCTACTTTGATTCAACCAGGTTCTCCCAGTATTTGTGAATTGATGGCCTGGAAGGAGCCTTGGTATGTCTGGGTTCTTGTTCCCCATCATTTTACAGATGGAGAAACTGAGAAAAAGAGATGATAAACAATTACCAGTATCTGAGCTTCTCTAGTCAGCTTCCAAAGATTTCTGCAGTCATTAGTATCCACTACTTCGTGAGACCCTAGGAGAACCCTGTGAAGCTGGCAGGGCAGATCTTATTATTTTCCCAATTAATGGAGGCCCAAAGAGAGGAATGAATTAATGAGCCCAGGGTCAAGGTGAAAGCAAGAGTCAGCCCCTTACTGCTCCACCCGCCTGCCCTTCCTGGGCCTAAGCGATGGGGCACAGTCCGGACGCCAGAGCGGTCCTATCTCCAAGCAGTGGGCATTCTCTTTGTGCCACCCCGTCCCTGCTAAGCCCCGGCCCCTATCATGGTGACCAGCTGCTTTCTTCACCATGGTCTGAGCTTGGCGCAGCTGCTGGGAATGCTGCCTGTTGCTGAGGACTGGCCGGTCCAGGGAGCCCCGCCGGATGAATGGGTGTCTGATGGGCGTGCATGTGGTGGGAGTGACCTGAGGGATGGGCCCCTGAGCTGAGAAAGCCTTTTCTTGTGATGCCTCTAACCCCGCCCCTCCGCCCTGTCTCGGGTTTGGGAAGAGGAGGCCCGTGCAGGAACAGCATTCCATTCGCCTGTAAACTGGCGGCCTCGAAGGGCACCAGCACCGCCCCTGCTCCTGTGTCCCACCCTGCTCTGCCCCCTCACTTCACCCGGTGCCCATCCCAGACCTCTGCCTTCTCCATCCCTGGCTCTCTTGCTGCCTGCTGGTCATCTGGCCTCCTCCAACACTGTGGAAATGGAGGCCCTGAGGAACACCCCTCTTGCTTCCTGTTGCCTTAGTCTCACCCATCTCAGGGGCACAGGGGCCTGGCCCTGGTGGAATGCCATCCCTCTCATCATCTCTGGGCCCCACTTTGGCACCCCTGGTGTCCGCAGGGGCCCAGCTCTCTTTCCCTACTCTGTCTCTCCACCCCTGTCTCCCTCTTCCTCAGATCCCGCACCCCAGGGGCCCAGGGCTCCTCTACATATGAGTTGCCAAACCTCTCCCATCCTTGGCCTGGAATCAGGTCCTCTCAAGCTCTCCTGGCCCTCAAGATGTTTCTCTCCTTCCCGGCAGAAGCGAGCATCTATGCACAGGGTCCTGTCCCCCCCTCATGTGGTCCCATACCCCACTCTGGCTGCAGCCGAAAGCTCCTACTTGTTTTTCAAGGTCCACTCAGAGGTCACCTTCTCTAGAATGTTGCAGCAGATGCCCTCACCACCTCCCCGCATGTTTCCCTGGCCCATCCTGGGCTGTCCTGCACTGTGGTCTGCTCCTGGTACACCGATAGCCCCCTCCTCAAATGTCTACTCCCCTTTTCTTCCTCACCTATGAGAGGAAGCCCCATAGCATCCAAGCAGAGGTGACTGACCTCCCAGGAGCAGTGCTGGCACTGCGGGGAAGGAGAGTCAGCGGCTACCAGCCCCGGCCCCCAGGAGGAAGGTCCAGTGTGGGTCCTCAGATGTCCTGGTGGGACTGGCCCTGGTTGCTCCTGGTGGGGACCACACATCAACGCTCCCTTTGTTAGCTTCTATTCCTTCCCTGAACCACTCTTTACCCTCTCATTGTGCCTCCTGAAATCCCCTCCCGAACAGACTACCAAGATCCAAGCCCTTATCTTGGGTCTGCTCTAGCGCCCCTGCTCTAAGACTGATGTCTTCCTCACCTTCCCCTTTCTTGTGCAAGACTGGATTCCTCCAGGCTAAAGGTGTGTCCTGGTCACCCAGCACATTACTCCAGCGAAGAGATCGTCAATAAGTGTTTCTTAAGAGAGAAAGTATATGAATAAATAAATGAATGAATGAACAAACAGCTGTGTCTCTAGGGTGTCTAAGCTGGGTGCCTACTGCAAAGAGGTGTATGCCTATGCGTCCGGCTCTGCCAAAGCCTGTCTTCTCTTACCACATCAAAAGGTCTATACTGCACACTCTCCACCCCCTGAGGCCTCTGCCATCCCATTCCACCATCTATAACACAATTATCTCCATCAGCCAGGACATCCTCCTGCTAGGAAAAGTCCTCCAACTCAGCAGGAGGTTCTGACTCCAGTTAAAAAAAGGTTAAGGAACAGAGTGAAATGCTATTATAATATGATATAATTCAATGCCGCCTCCTGGAAAATGTCACTATGGAGAGAGAGATTCGTCCCAGCTGGACTCCAGGGCTCATTCAGAAGCACTCGGACAACTGCCTGTTCACAGGGAGCGCAGCCCCAGGAAATGGTAATTTCGACACATCAATTTATTGAGCACATACGCATGGGTCGGGGGTTCCAGGAGGAGGAATTAAGTCCTTGTTGGGGAGCTGAAGTGGCTGCTGCAGAGCTGAGATCGGCTGAGATGCATGGACCACATCTGACTTTGATGGCCTTGGGCAGGGCAGGTCCAGGTACTCTAAGCTCATCCCCAATACCCCAGGGACTCAAACTCAGCACCCCAGTCCCACAAAAGAGCATTCTCCAGGTGAGAAAACTGAGGCCCCACGTATTGAATCAATGATAGACCTGGGGCTCTGATCCTGAATCCAGACAGCTCCTGCCCTTCTGGGGGCCTCTGAGGAGCAGGCTAAGTGGGAATCAGGCTGAAAAGATGAACAAGACCTGGGACCTATTTGCAGGCTGGGTTACCAACGGGGGAGCAATCGTGTGGTGACCTCATGAAGTTGCTTCCCTTCTCTTGATCTGTTTTCTCATCCATACAAGGGAGACGTTGCCAGTTTCTAAGGTTTCTTCCACTTCCAAAAATGTCACTCTGAACCTCAGTTTCCTGTCTTTCAAGTGGGCATAATGTTCTACTTCTCAAAATGCTGTGGATAGACAAGTGGCAGAAGCTCCTTGGCATTGTTGTGTGAAATAACCTCCAGAGCAGGACTGTCATGCCTCACACTTCAGCAGCAAAGTGATGTTTGGCATAGAGTCAGGGCCACATCTGAACCACAGGCAGAAGCGAAGGGAAACTGATATCATAGTTCCCAGATAAGATGCTCTAGAGCTGGGGTGGCCTCAGGCTGGGCTGTCGTGTCAGAGTCTCAGAACGCTCCCCGCAGAACGAGGGAGAGCCTTAGGGCAGAATCCCCTTCATCATCACAGCAGCTTAGACGGAATCACAGATTCTGGACTGTCTGTCCAAGGGGCACCTGGGAGTTCTGGGCTGTGGAAAGGAAGGAGGGAGGGAGAGGGAAAGAGGCTTACAGATGAGGACAGGCTTCTCATCAGGCTCTGTGGTGCAAGATGCCAAAAGTATTTTGCATTTTGCAAAAGTCAGAAATGCCTGAACTCAAATGCTGGACCCATTACTCAGTAATTGCACAATGGAGGAAACCTGCTCAAACTTTGCTAAACCTGCTTTCATATCTGTAAAATGGGGGATAAGATGACACCCCTGTCATAGGCATAATGCTGGCAAGGTTCTTAGCACCACACCTAGCCCAGGTCGTTTCTAGTAGTGACAGCAAGAGCCACAGGATTAGTTGTTTTAAGTCTACACCACGACATATTCTGTAAAGAGAGGACACAGGGCCCATCCCACTGACTGTGGGGACAGGAGGAGAAAGGGCCATGTATTTGGAGACAAGCAAATGGGTCAGCCTGAGCTAAGTGAAATCCGGAGAGGCACGGAGACCCAGACAATGCCCGTGAATGAATGCAGTTAACAACTTCTGATTATGCGAGTGATAGATGAACTTATTCACATCAGTCTAACAGCAATTACCTTAGTGGGAAGAGCAGTTAGGAATCCATGTTCTAATGGTTGTTATAATGAGTATTGCCGAAGGCAAATTTCATCAAGTACATCAATCAAGAAGATATTTATATGGAGAATTATGAGTAAATCATTGTCCTGTGTACAACTGCAAAAAAAAAATGGGTGCATATGTTTGAGCAATGGGTGACTTAGATGCCAGTATCTTCAAGCCATACAAGCTTACAGCTTTGTTTGTGAAAGTAACAGCTAACTTCCTACCAAGGACCATGATTTTATTCTTCAGTGACCACACCAATGAGGAAAGGGGCAGAAACAGCCCTGTCTGCCCTCCACTTGAGGAGAGGGGGACTGAGCTGGTCTGCTGATAAGTGAAGTAAGTCCCATCTAACACAATAGACCCAAAATGATCCCTGAGAAATTTAGGACAATGGTTGTGAACACATACACACATATGCATACATCAGAACTTACACATAGCACATTGACGTGGTTACCCACACGCAGGTGTGCATTCCCACATGGCCATCTGCTCACAGGTGTACATATGTGTGGACATCCTTCATCTCACATGTGGAGCATTTCATGATGTGATCCAGCTGCTTCAGCTCCATAAACTCTTAGCTGCAGGTGGGCATAAAACCACAGGGACTTGGTAAAGTCTGTAATTGTGGGTATGAGCAGCCACACCTACTCTGGGGCCCTTAGTTCCTCGTCTATAAAACAAAGGTATGAAGGGAGTGGGTAGGGGTAGGGATTGGCTTGGTTGATTCCCTAAAGCCTTTCCAGCTCTTGCATTGTAGGGTTAGGACTTCCTCACCTGGAAAAAGAAGTTAACAGTAGAATCTTCCTTGGCAAACTGCTGGAGGATTAATTGTAAAATGCATAGTGCAAAGTATGACCAGTCTTTTCATCTTAGCTGTTCTAATAGGTGAGTTTTCATTTTTCACTGTGATTTTACTATGCATTTTCCTAATGACTACTACTGTTCTGTATATTTTTCATATGCTTATTTGCATCTGCTTTGATGAGGTATTTGTTTACATTTTTTTGCCCTTCTAAAAACTGGGCTGTTGTCTTCCTATATTGTTTTGAGAGTTCTTTATATATTATGGATACATGTCTTTTAGCAGGCATATGACTTGCAAATATTTCTTTCAGTCTGTGACTTACCTTTTCATTCTCTTTAAAGGTGTCTCTCAAAGAGTAGAATTTTTTATTTTGATGAAGTCTGATTTATCAGTTTGTTTCTTTTTGAATTGTGCTTTTGATGTTATAGCTAAGAAGTTTTAGCTAAGAAATCTTGCCTAAGCCAACATTATAATTTTTTTTCCTATGGTTTTGAAGCTTTATAATTTTAAGTTTTACATTTAGTATGGATCAAAGGTCTTTTTATTTCTTTTTATTTTTTGTCTATGGATATCCAATTGCCCCAGAACCATTTGTTGGAAAAATCTATTGCTTTTCAACTGAATTGCTTTACACCATTGTCAAAAATCAGGTATCTGTTTATGTGTGGGTCTATTTCTGGGCCCTTTTCTGTTCCATTGATCTATCTGTCATTCTTGATGTTGGTATCACACTGTCTTGATTACTGAAGCTTCATTATAGGTCTTGAAATAAGGCAGTTAGTCTTCCAACTTTGTTTTTCTCTTTAAAAGTTGTTTTGAATATTCTAGATCCTTTGTATTTATATATTGATATAAGAATCAGTTTTCCAACATCTTCAAAAAAGATTACTGTGTTTCTGTTGGGACTGATTGAATCTATAAAATATTTAGGAGGAAATTGATGGTGTTTTGTAGTTTTCAGTATATAGGACTTGCATATCTTTCATCAGCTGCATCCCAAGAATTTTGTATTTCTATGTGATTATAAATGGTTTTGTTTTTATAATTTTTATTTCTAATTATTCAATGCTAACAAGTAGAAATATACCAGGTATTTGCATATTGATCTATCCTACAACCTTGCTAAACTCACCTATGAGTTCCAGTATCTTTTTCTGTACTATAAATTCCATCAGGTTTTCCACATAAATGAGCATACTGTATGTGAATAAAGGCAATTTTGTTTCTTTCTTTACTAAGTGATTTTATTTTATTTTTTTGGGCCAGAACCTACCATACTATATTAAATAGAAGTGGAAGGAGCAGAAATCTGTCTTCTTCCTAGTTTTAGGGATAGATAATAAATCTTTCACTCTAAGTATGATGTGAGCTATAGAGGTCTTGCAGATGTTCTTCGTTAGGTTGAGGACGTTCACTTCTATTCCCAGCTTACAGAGAATTCTTATCAGGAATGAATGTTGGATTTTATCAAATGCTTTTTCTGTGTCTTTAAAAATAATCATATAGTTTTCCTATTTTTGAGTCTGTTAATATGATGAACTACATTGATTGATTTTCAAATGTCAAATCCACTCTTCATTCTCGGTATATAGAAGTCCTACTTGATCATGACGTAGTATCCTCTTCATATATTGCTGGATTTGATTCGTTATAATTTTGTTTAAAAATTTTACATTTACTTTGATGACAAATATTGATTGGAGTTTTCTTGTTATTTACATGTCAGGTTTTGGTATAAGAGAAATGAGGGTCACAAAGAATGAGTCGGAAAGTAGACATTCATCTATTTTGGGGGAATACTGTAGAATTGGTGTTATTCCTTCCTTAAATGATTGGTAGAATTCACCAGTGAAGCCCTGAGAACTTGGGTTTTTCTTTGAGGAAGATTTTTAACTGCAAAATATATTTAATAGATTTCTGTATTTTTTTCCTGAGTGAGCTTTGTTAGTTTCTCTTTCAGGGAATTAGTATGTTTCTTCTAAGTCATTGAACTTACTGGCATCAATTGTTCTAATATTCCTTATTATTCTTTTAATATCTGGAGGATCTAAACTGATGTTGCCTCTCGCATTTCTGATATTTGTACCTTGTGTCTGTTCTCTTTTTTGTATATGTGATCAGTTTGGCTAGAGGTTTATCAATTTTTCTGATCTCTTCAAAGAAACAGCTTTTGTTTTACTGGTTTTCTCTATTATTGTGTGTTATTTATTTCATTGACTTTACTCAGATCTTAATTGCTTCCTTCTCTTTAATCTAGATTTCATTTGTTCTTTTTATCTGATTCATAAGATGGAATCTGAGATCATTTATTTGAGACCTTTCTGTCTTTTCTGTTACAGGGCATCAGCGCTACAATAAAGGTCCTAAGTACTGACTTGATGGCATCTCACAAATTTTGGTTTGTTGTTCATGATTTTCATTCAGTTCAGAATAATCATTCTTGATTTCATTTCTTCTTTGACCTATGGGCTGTTTAGAAATTGTTAGTTAGTTTCAAAGTGATTGGTGATTTTCTGGAGGTCTTTCAGTTACTAATTTCTAATTTGATTGATTGTAGTCAGAGAACACTCTTGTATCACTTGAATCCTTTTAAGTCACTGACACATTTTTATGGTCTGAGACTATGATCCATCTGGGTAGATGATCCATGTGCATTTGAAAAGAATGTGCATTCCACTGTTATTGGGAATATTCTATAACTGTCAGTTAGGTGAAGTTTTTTGGTTTTGTTGTTCAAAACTTCTAAATCCTTACTGATTTTCATAGTACTTTTTCTACCAATTTTGAAAGAGACAATGAAATCTTCTGCTATAATTTTTAGGTTCTTTCTCCTTGCCATTCCATCAGTTTTTGTTTTAAGCATTTTGAAGCTCTGCTATTAGTTGCATAACCATTTAGGATTCTATATACTCCTAATAAGTGACTTCTTTATCATTATGAAATTATTTTATCTTGGGTAATATTATTTTCTCTGAAATATACTTTGTCTCATATTAACATAGCCTCTTTAGCTTTTATTAATCCTTATATGATATATCTTTTCCGACCTTTCACTTTTCACCTGAATGTGTCTTTGTGTTTCTTGTGTGGATGGTATATAGTTAGGTCTTTTCTTTTTTACCCAACCTGAGAACCTCTGCCTTGCCATTGATGAGTTTACATTAGTAACATGTTACATTATTGTGAGGATTGATATATGCAAAGATAAACATCAATTAACTCCTCCCAACCTCCTCATGTTGCACATCTTTTAATCATTTATAATCATGGCTCCCTTCATGGCCCTTATTACAATATATAATATAATATAATATAATAATAAGAAAGTTTCATGTAATTCCCTGTTTGTTACTCACTTCCCCAACTAGCAACTGCAAGTCCCGGGATGTTAGACACTGGTGAATGAATTGATGAGTAAGAGAACGAGTGAGTGAGTGACATCATGTCCCTATGACGACTCTTCCTGACCTTACAGTCCTCTCAGGGCCACTGTACCCCACCTGAGGCTTTCACGCTCTGTACTCTGCCCACTTCCTAGCTGCCCTCCAGAGAGGAAGCCCAGTCCCAGAATGGCTGGAGATGGACCTGAGTCCAGGGGGTCTGTCTCCCACCCTGCCTTCTCTGTTCTTACCCATGAGTATAGACATGTGCCCCCTTCCAAGCGCTCTGAGGTGCAGTCCGCACCGCCATGTGGAGGAGAGCAGTTGTTTTGGGCTGGCTCCCATTGATTCGTCCTTTGAGTTTGTTCTCTCTCAGGGCCATTTGCTCATGGCCCCCCCCCCACTGTCCCCCACCAACACACATACACCAATGCGCAGATGAGGAGGAGGCTCCGGAGCCTGAAGATCCAGATCAGCTGCAGCTGGAGAGTGAAAAGTTGAGCTTTTTGGGGATTTTTTTTCTCGTCCTGCAGTCTAACTGGCTCAGTGAGCCTTCAACAGCACTAGAGGTCCTGTGAGAGCTGAGGCCGCTGCCCTGCAGGCTGAGCCTCTTCCTGCTGCTCTAACATGGGGCTGGGGTCTCCAGGAGGCCCTTGGGGTATACGGAGGCACAGCAGCTGGTCCCTGTCAGCACTGCGCATGTCCTGACCCTGGGGAGTTAGAGGAGGAAGGGGCAACTCCCACACTGATGGGTCAACAGCCCATTGACTCCTGCTCTGTGCCAGGCCTGTCCTGGGCTCTGGGCTGCAAGGCTGGCTTAGACGTTGCCCCCGCTCTTGGGGAGCTCTATCTGGGGGCTGATGAGTGGGTCAGGAGCAGAGGCCAAGAGAGGGGGTGTGACTCCACTGGGCCCCACAGTCAGGCAGCAGGCTGGGTTAGGATAGCAGTCAGGACCCCCCCATTGGGGCTATCCAGGGAGAGCTTGCCCTCTGAGGGCCAGGCTGGTGTTAGGGGCCAGGGGATGTTTTCTGGGCAAAGATATTGACTCATGAGAAGAACTGTACATGGACTCAAAAGGGAAGGACTTGGCCAACTCCACCCAGGTCCAGGTGCCAGTCCAATTTTGTTCTACAGAAATGCCCTGTACCAGTTACGGACTTGCTCTCCTCCCCAAATAGGTACATGCACACTCACACACACACACATACACAGAGCTTGTGAGTTCCTTGTAAGTATGGACCGAGTCTTAATCTCTCTACTCCTGGCCACTAGCCACTGCTGGTTTAGAGAAGGGACTCAGTAAATATTTGTTAAATGAATGAACCTAAGTTATTTATGTTGCATACCTGGTTGCTCTTCAGGTATTTGCATTTTTGCAAAGGACAAAATGTCAAACCAAAGAAATGAAGCTCCAGTGGTAGAATTTCAGGCACCAGTGAGCTGAGCCTGGAAGCTTCTATTGTTTAGTGCTTGTGGGAGTAAGTGGCTGTCACAGCGGCTGGAATCTTCCATTCAGTGCTTTCCACTGCAAAATTAGGAAAACAATCACATTGTCTCTTAAAAACCATGAATGTGTCATGGAAATAAATGTGTTTCCCTTTGGCTTTCTGGGGAGAAAACTTCTTCAGTCCTGGCAGGTTTTCCAGTGGTGGCTCCAGCCAACAGAAAATGCCTTCCTGATATCCTGTGGCTTGTGGGGGTGATGCTCTGGCTGACTCTAGGGTCATCTCAGCTTTCTGACTCGACAGCCACCTGGCATCCTGGCCCTGCCAAGTTGGGAGGAGTCTGATGTGATCCGAGAGTTAAAGGAGGCACACGCCACAGACATTTCTACATCAAGGCCACTACCCCGGCTGCTTCTCCTGAGCTTGTCCTGACCACTTGGTTCTTCCCTGGTCCTCCAGCTGAGCCCACCTCGTGCCCCAGCTCTCTGCACTGACAGCTTCCCTTCCTTCCAGCCCACTGTCCTCTCTGCCCCAGCACGATCCCCAGAAGCACGAAGGTGCCTGGGTCCCTCCCTGCCGGAAACCCTCTCTAGGCTCCATGGAGTCTCTGGGTCATGGTTCAAACTCCTTCGCTCTGCACCAGCCGTGCAGAGGCACAGACATTAGCCGCATACACATGAGGGAAGAGCCCGGCCCTGCTGTTGCATCTGCCCTTCCTTCTCCTAGATGCTCTTCCCTCCCTGTCAGTGTAGTGAGCTCTTACTCAGTCCTCAAGACCCAGCCCAACATTCCCTTCTCTGTGAACCCCTCCTGGATTCTCACTGCAAAGCTGATCCTTCCTCCTCCTTATAGCTCCACCACTGAGGCTATTTCTGTCTCCATACATGGCCACTCATTACCAATCCTCTGGTCTGTCACCCTACTAAATTGTGATCTTCCTAGGCCTAACTATCTGTTCCCAGCATCTGAAAGCAGATGTGTCAATATGGGTTTATGGAGGAAATGGACCAACTGATCTATCAATAAAATCACTGCATGATAATCCTTTCCCTACTACTGCTACAGTAATGACAGCAGCGGCAGCATTCATACCTCTGGTTTCCGGGTCATATACTGTATGCCAGCTCTGTAGTTGGCCCTTCGCCTGCATCAGCTTTGACAACCTCACAACCCTCTTGTCGGTTGGCATGATTAGTAGGTCTGTTTTGTAAATGAGACACCCTGGGCTCAGAGAAGTCCAGGGTCCAGTCCAAAGTCACACTGCCAGGGAGTAAAGATGCCAAGATATGAGCTCAGGGATCTTGGGTCCAGCCTCCTCACTCACTGAGGACCTATGCTGCACCAGGCTGTCCTGTGGTCTGAGGGTAGGGCAGGGAACAGAATAGGCCAAGTGCCTGCCCCATTGTAGTGTTTGAGGTGGGGGGAAGGGACAAACAACAAAACAAATAGATATATAAATAATGTCAGGGCTGATAAGTGCTATACAGAAATATAAATCAGGGTTGGGGGCAGAGACTGACAGCAGGAGAGGGTGATACTTTAGGGGACTGCTGAGCAGAGACCTGAATGAAGAAGGGACAAGCCTGGTTGCAGCAGAGGGAAGCATGCTCCTGGCAGATGGAACAGCAAATGCAAAGGCCCTGAGGCTGGGATGGGCTTAGCTTGTTTGAGGAACAGCAGATCAGTGTGGCTGGAGCTCAGTGAGTTGGGGAGAGATCAGGTGGACAAGATCACAAGGTAGTCTGGGGGGTAGATTGTGGCATGGTGGTGGGCCTGTCGGTATTACCCCAATATTAGACTTTTCCTCTGAGTATAAAAGGGAGTCGTGGAGAGCTGGGAGCTGAAGGAGTTCAAAGGTTGCCTCTGGCCTCTGGGATGACCATTGTCAAAGAGGACAAGGCCGAGGGGAACTTGGCAGCTGTCTGGGAGGCTGGTGCTCTGGCTACATAGCCAAGTACTAGGACTGTCTGCTCGTCTGCCCTACTCAGCACCCTTCTTGGTCCTACTGACCTGATCCCTAGGATGCCTCCCAGTCCCTGTCCCCTCCTTCCTATGAGCTGCTCACCCACCCTGAGTCTCCAAGTCTCCCCTGCCCTCTCAGGGCTCAGTCCTGAGGTTTACTCTTTGACCACAGGTCACAGAGGGCCCTAAGGTCCTGGCTTCTCTTTCTGGGTATCTTTCTCTGCCTGTTGCCCTGACAGCACCCTGTGCTGGCAGCCAGATACTCCCCAACTTCTGCCCCAGCTAGGTGGGGTGAACCATCCCCTAAAGCAGCCTGTGAGGAGTTGAGAGAATCAGAGGGACCTAGGTTCAAATCCTGCCTCAGCCACAAATTTGCTGTGTGACACTGGTCAAGTATCTAAACCTCTCTGAGCAGCAGTTTCCTTGCCTATGAAATAGAGATAATAATAGCTTCTCTGGGGGATATCCTGGAGAAGCCACATCACATGTACGGATGCCTGGTAGCTCCTGGCGGCAGCAGAGCTCACACTCCTTTCAGTTTCCCGTCCTCCCCACCTCCTTCCTTGAAGATGAGACAGTGAGGCCCCTTCCCTAAGGTCACACAAATCAAGGGGTCCAGGCCTGCCACCGTCTCCTGGAGCAGTGTCCTGGCTATGACACACTGCCCCATGCCTCAGTTTCCTCATCCATAAATGGGGTCATAACCATGCCCACCTCACATTGATGGTGTGAGGCCAACGGAGCTGATCTAGACAGAACGCTTGGGACGGTGTCTGGGACACTGTCACCATCTGCAGGCAGTGGCTCCCCTACTCCTCCCCATGTCCTGTCAGTCCCTGAACGTCCCAGAGAACTTAATGGCTCAAAGTGACAGACACTTTCCACCCCTCTAAGAATCAAGTTCAATGCTCAGATTTTGCACATGGGGAAACTGAGGCCTGGGACAGGGAAGGGCTAGTCAAGGTCACAAAGAAGAGGGACAGAAAGCCCTGCCTACAGATTCCTTCTTCAGGACCCTCCCCTCTCAGGTAGGGTGGGAGTTCCCCAGGCAGCTGGTGCTGAGTGAGGAGAAGCAGTAATTACCGGTGTTGATATCCTGGTGGAGAAATGACAGCTGGTCCCCCAAAGAGAAGTGTGGGAGGGGCCGGCAGCTGCTCCCCAGGCTGTGAGAGGAATTGATTATCATTCTGACACTGCCTTGCCCTGACGCTCTTACTTTTTGCCAATTGATTGAGCAGCTTCGGCTCCACCCCATTCACATAGGGGTGGCCCCAGTCACTCTGGACTGTCTGCTAGGCTGGGAAAATCCCAGATTCCAGCACCACGTTACCATCCACTGAGCATGAAATGAAGGTTCCAGAAGCAGGGCAGCCCCTCTCCAGCATCATCTCCTGCCGCTGTCACACCAGCGCTACGGGGAGGCAGTGTGGGGACAGCCCCATTTTACAGCTGGGGCAAGTAAGGCCCGCGAGATTGAGTTGCCTGACCAAGGCACCCAGCCAGAGAGTGGGAGATAGGATTTGAACCCATGTCCACGGGTCTCCAGACAGTGCCCACTCTCATTGTCCACCACCCTCAGCCTCCCAGCCTCCTGGACGCTGCTCGCCACCCGCCACTCGAGGGTGAGTCACTTCCCCTTCCTGCACCTTGGTTTTCTCAACTGGAAAATGGAAGTGTTACCCCCTGACCCTTCTGCCCCCCAGGGATGTCCTGATGCCCCCTCCCCAGGGAGAAGATGGACTCAGGATGACACAGATGACAGCACCAAGTACTGAGGGTACACATGAGCTGTCAGGCCCTCCGGGATGCCCTGTGGAGCAGGGAGTCTCAGCCCTATTTCCTGAGGAGGCTGCTGAGGCACAGAGAGTTTCAGGAGCTTACTTGAGGCCACACAGCTGGGAGGGACAGAGCTGGGGCCCTAATGCCCCAAGTCCCCACCCTCATCTCCCCCTCCCTCTGCTCCCTGGCCCCGCTGCTGGCAGTTCCTGGAACATGTCCTGCTCCTTCAGGCCTGACCTGCCTGCGAGCTGCTCCCTGTCCTTGGACAGCTCTTCTCCCTCCTTGCCCTTTCCCCAGTCCATTCTCCATAGTGCAGACAAAACAAGGCCTTAAAACAGGAGTCTGATGGCAACACAACCCAGCTCACACCTCTCCAAAGACCCTGCTACCCCAGAATAAGCCCTGAGCCCTCACATAGCCCGACTGCTCCTGCCCGGCCTGGTCCCAGTTGGTTTCCCGCCTCTTTGCAGCTCTGACTTCCTCCTGGGTGACCTGGGGCTGGTCACTTGGGCAGGGCTCAAGTGCCTTGTACACAGTCACTCATTAGGTCCTCACAATAACCCTGCCAGGAAGCAGCAGACACGGAGGCCCAGCATGGTTACACAGCTTGTCTGGGTGCGGGGTAAACAGCAGAATCTCCCAACTAGCCTTAGTTCATTTACGTATCAATAGGTGTTCACCGCAGCAGTCTCCCTCAGCTTCGCAGGCAAGGGGGAGAGAAAACAGCCATTCTCCCCTACCCGCTGTTCCTGGTAGGTAATTGGCCTGGTGTCTGCCAGTCACCAAGGACCTGCTGATGGAGTTTCTCCCAGAAGGGATGTGTGGGAAGTAGAGAGTGTGCTGTGGCTGCAGAGTGTGAGCAGTGGCTGGAGGAGACATAGGGGCCAGACCTGACTAGCGACTGCAAGAAATAGAAGCATTTCTCCCAACCTATCTTTTCCTTTGACTTATTTCAGTTTCACTGTTTCATAGCAGACACGTCCTGGGTCGGGAACGCCCTTCCTCCTGGAGCCACACTGCGTCACACACTGGGAGGTGGTGGAGCCCAGATTCATACCCAGCCAGGGGGCGTCCTGACACTCTGCTCCTCCCCACCCCACCCTGCTGCTGTCCTAAGGGTACAGCAAGAATAGTGCCTATCACGCTCCTCCTCCATTCAAGCATTTACAGGCCTCATCGCATTGAGTCTTCTCTCTGCCCTTTGAGATGACTGTTTCTTCCTCCCTAAGCCCCCATCTTTTCACTTGCGTCTTTTGTCCCAAGAACAGGCAGACAGCTGAGGTCCGGAGTGATAAAGAGACTTGCTCCAGGTCACCCAGGGCGTGCATGGCAGGCTTGAACTCAGGCCCATGTGACTCCACGGCCTGTGCTACCAATGACATAAGCGTCTGAGCCCAGTGACAAGGCCTGACTGCAGGGCTCAGCATCCCAAGCTGATTGCTAGGAAATCCAGAGAAACTTGAAAGCATCACGTGCTTCCTTTCTTGGCTAATCCATTTCAGAAGGGGTGCTTCACTCAGGGCAGAGCTTACCCCATGGCTCACTATGCAATTGGTGGAAATCAGACATCTGTCAGGTGGTGTCTGCCAACCAGACAGAGATTCCCATCCCAGTGAGTGCAGACTCACTGCAGCCCCTGAGTCTCACAGAGGTGCTCCCACACTGACTTGGGAAGGCCCAGCATGTGCCAAAGGCCAGCACCAGGCCTGACAGCACAGGGACGAGTCAGCCTCAATAGGCTTGGTGCTGCACTGGCTGACTTTAATACAGGCACTGAAGGCGCCACACCTACAGATGCTCTGGGCTTTTCTCTGCTTTGCATGTTGAAGACAGAGCACAGGGAGCAGAGGACAGGAGTGGGGGGCTAAAGCAGAGCCAGAGCATCATTTAGCCCAAGGAAATAGGGACACTAATGATGGGCACACAGGCTTCATGGTGGTCACTGTGCACTGTATGGCCATCTCAGAAACCCTCCCCAGATCCTTGTTACATCTCTCCACCCAGCGAGCCCCACCTCCACTCCAGCAGCCAGCTCCTCCCCACCTCTCTTTCCTACGGGAATAGCTGAGATATGTCCCTGTTTGCTCTGGGAGAGGGGAGCAGAGGCAATACCTGTTTGCTGCCACCTCTACGCCTCTGCTTCTGGCCTTCATTTGTCTGCAAACTCCAGGGATCCAGGCAGCCTCAGGAGGGAGCTCTCAATGTCCCCTGCAGGGGCTGTCCACCTCAAGCATTCTGGAGGAATGACAGCTGAGATCATTCTGTGTGGAGCACAGAAGGGCCCTGGGATCTGGGATAAGCAAACCTTCCTTTAACACAGCTCTCCTGCAAGGTCTGTGATCCTGTCCTCACTCCGTCAGCCTAGTGTGTGACCCTGGACAAGTCACTTCCCCTTTCTGGGTCTCGGTCTCCTTGTATGTGAGACAGGAAGG